TATGCCGATCGAAACAAACATTATGAGCCACTACAAGGGTGACTGAGTAAACGAATCGTGCGAATCGAAATGAAAACCGAGTGAAAACGAATTGCACCAATACATTCAGGCCTACAATTCCACACCTTCTATAGACCAGGTTGAGCTTTGATATTTAGCTGCTTGCGGGAACTGACATCCGATTGATAACCTTTACAATATCCAAAACATACTCCTTAACAAATTTGTGGTGGTCCTGAAAAGGACCGTTTAGTCGTGATGGTTGAGTGATGCTGAGCTATTGGGTTGTGGTTGGCGAGCTGTTAATTGTTTGGAGCAAGGTTGACACGCTTGGCATAGATGACCCACAGCTACTCACGAGGAAACTGATTTCGATCCAGCGGCTTCTTCCTCCTTCTATGAGTGCTCATGTGGGTTCTGCAGCTCACTGCTTGCACGCTGCCTTTCGTGGGGTACGCCACACGCTAATTACTGCTGCTGCTGCTGACGTTGACGACCGGACACCACCACACACGGTGATTGAATGAGCACCGTTCAGTGAGACAGGATCGAATTCGATTTTTAAATCTGTGTTAGGGAATGCGCTGTTTGCAGGTAATCGGTGATAATTGTGATCACCATTGCAACAGTTGGACATTTGTGTATTTTTCAATAGTGACCTATTGAAAATTAATAAAGTATTCAATTTAGCAGATTGGAAGATAAATTCCCAATTCTTTGGCTTATTTAGAATTAAAATTCATCTGCTATTGACAGAGGTATATGTGGTCAAAACCCGACCTATTTTCGTCCCGCGGTCGATTTTGGTTTTTTGAAATTGCACCCCTAATATGTTGCCGAAAGACGTAATCCTACGTCAAAAAACTTTTTCAAAGTGTTACGTCTGTTTGTCTGTGATCATATCATCGCTAGTACCATTGAGTGGATTCAACGTTGCTTGATCGTTCCATCCAGCCAGAACATCATAGTCAATCAGATATTCTGCTTCTGGTTCATCCGTATCACCCAGGGTTTGTCCAGGAGAATCATCGCAGTCCATTTTCTTTCCGCTTCAATTGGAATTTACTATTTATGGGAGAAATCTTGAAAAAGAGAGACCTCCTTCAGTCTTTGGAATTTGTAGAAACAGATAACAGCGCCAAAAGGATTATGACGAGACAACATTGAACTGCAGCCTTGGAAGTTAACACGCACACCAACATCTATGCATTTACGAGCCCACACCACTGAGCGGACGGACGGTACAGCGCAAATCAAAACACGAAGCGGAGTCATCACTTATCGTCATCACTCAGCTTCGGCAGCTTCCGATTGCGTTTGTATTCGCAGGCGTTGACAAATATCTTCCTATGTTATACAATAGGAAAGTATTCATTATCCAACATATTTTTTTAATTGAATGTGTGCTGCGTTGACTAAGGAAGACGGCATTTCCAATGGCTTGTGTGTGTTATTCTTCATGGATAGTAAATGTTTTTCCATGTCTACTTATATGCTTATAAAGATTATATTGTGCAACAGCGTCGCAAATAATCAATCACTTTTAGAGATTTGCTTCTTACCGGTGATGATATTGGAAACTCTTTCACTCCAAAGCAAAACATATTACAAGCCCATCATGAAGCGAGTTTGCATGTGTGATTGTTTTCTCAAATGTTTCTGTTGCGTATAAACTGGTAGGGTTAACTACCCCATTTCCGGCCTATTAAGCACTACCCGCACTTAATCTTTCTTAATCTAGCGTAGTTTAGCACCAAACGAAATGTTATTATTACTTATGGCTTCCACATTTATTTACCTTTCCGTACGTGCCGTAAGATTTGATAAAGAGAAACGAATCGTTGAGATATTTTCAATAGTCTAACACTGCTTCTTGACGCCAAACTCGGCCTACGGATTCTAAACTCGGCCTAACGCATTGAAACGCCAATGAATTCACTTCGGCCTATCGGATGAAGATAAAAATTGATTCGGTCGGAGCGCTTCTTTTGTTTTTGGGAATAATGGGTGCAAACCTTCATATCACGCGTTCTCATTGACTTCGTTTGGTAGCTTATTAACTAAAGTATCGTACCAAACGCATAATAGACTTGTTAACTCTGAAATCATGGATTTATTTGAAGTTTTCTGCTCGATAGGCCCAAAATGGGCGATTAGGCCGAAGTAGTTCTCTACCCTAATGAATGAAAATCGGAGCAATCACAAAAGAGTGAGAGCCTTGCTATCGCAATATAATGATGATGACATCGAGGATGCTATCGTATAGCTACGCTTAATACCGTTAAACCCTACGCTTTGGTCAGATAGCGTATAGGGCGTCGTTGTGCCAATTTGGTCGTGGCACATGACTAGACCAACAATTGAAATACGCCGAACAACAAAACGTAAACAATGGCTTTAACCGAAAATTCCTCGATAATCAAAACACATCGAAGCAATCTAACACCATGATAGAGCAAACTTCCTTTATTGAATGGCATGGTTAGTTTGCGTGGAAGTGGTTTGATTCTCGAAGAATTTGCGTTTAAAGCCATTGTTTACGTTTGGTTGTTCCGCCTATTTCAATTGTTGGTCTAGATTTCGAGTATGAGAGAGTGATTGCAGTTTACTCAAAAGTGCCTGAGTAAAATTCAAGTACTTTCGATGATTACCCGTAGATGTTACAGTGAAGATATAGGGTAGAGAACTACCTCGGCCTAATCGCCCATTTTGGGCCTATCGAGCAGAAAACATCACATAAATCCATGGTTTCAGAGTTAACAAGTCAATTATGCGTTTGGTACGATACTTTAGTTAATAAGCTACGGAACGAAGTCAATGAGAACGCGTGATATGAAGGTTTGTACTCATTATTCCCAAAAACAAAAGAAGCGCTCCGACCGAATCAATTTTTATTTTCATCCGGAGCTAGAGAACATTTATTAGACGTCTAATAAAGCATTTTATTAAACCAATTGAAAACAGTCGAATTAAAGCGAATATGTATGTGCAAATTACACTTATTCAGTTTGTTATTGGATCAAACTTCTGGTTCTGAATCAGGAAGACAGTCAACGTTTATAAAACTTTTAATAAGTAAATTAATCATATCAGAGCAAACGGCGGAATAAAGGCGCATCTATCGATCTTAATGAGCTTTTTTCAGCACTTAATTCGACATCCTGTTTATTCTGCATTGTACAGTGTTATACAGCATCTATTCAATGTGTATGCTTATTTGTGACTTTGAATTGTTTGTTGGTGTAAGCTGATTCAAATAGTAAATGGTATTAACATTGAGCTGTCCAAAGTTGGGCGTTGTTGAACTTGTGGTACTTGCACAACATTTCATGTGAGTACCAAAGTAACCATATAATCACAAAATAGCTTAAAGGTGTGGGTTCAGAGTGGGACAATGTCACTGAGATATGGTTAGTTGGGTATTCAGATGAAACTATTAGTTTAAAAAAACTAATCCTGGTTGTATCTCTTTTTCGTTTGCATGTAACACTGTTTGATATTACTAACCGCACCGAGCCTTCATTCCGGGTGGTGAGCGAACCTGAAGAAGAAGAAGACAACAATGAGCCCCTTCTCGGAACGAGTGTTTTGTTAGTGGACTGGCTGCGATTCAAGGTTGGAATCTGTGATGATAAGTATCACATAAAAGGTAAAATAGGTAGCATCATCTTGATCGAAATGTAAGTATTAGTGACAATAATCATAACTAGATGATATGCAAATTTATATGATAGGTACCTGGAACAACGTTATTTAGACATGCGCATTCAATCACGACGGCATCTAATTCTGCATTTTAAACCTACCCAACCCTTTTCCTTTCTAAAATCCCTGAGCAGCTTTTTCGCAGAACTTTTTTAACCCCCATGGGTAAAGATGCTGTGTTGCTCACTCCTCTCCTCTTCCCTGGTGTACTTAGATGGTGTGAATATTCACATCGGTGACATGGCCCTGACCCCCTTGTACATCATAAAATGAAAACTCTACGCTTAATACTGTAAAATCTACCATGATTTCAGTACCGTTGACTATAAATATAATCAAATTCACTACCATTCTGTCAAAACTACTATGCTTACTCAAACGGCATAGTATTTGTGATAGAAAAAAATAGTAAAATTAAATGAATTTCGTGTCTGCAAAAATCTATTGGTGGGAGTATTTAATTTAAACCATCAATATAGTATTTTTGCCAATGGATTTTGTTTCTGTGTAGACAGAATTCAAACCTCTAATATGGTAATTTTGACAACAAAGTTATTTTCAGTGCAGCAAGGTGTGAGAATATTTTTGTGTGACTAAAATGTTTGAGCTAAAAGGAGTCTAAATGGGTGCAACATTTGCGAATCATACTTAATCCATATTTTAGTCACTGTATATTTTCAAATTATATCATATTTTTTTTTCATATTTTAACATGTATTTTTGTTAGAGGGACCTTATTGCCCTCATCTACTTAATTGGTTTTAGTTTACGGTGGAAAGTGATGAAATTACATGTGTATACACTCAGCGTGGAAAAATTTCTAGAACACCAATCTTCAAAACTGGTTATTTGCCGAGTAATGACCCGATTTTAACAGCCTCTTTTTTTTTTATATTTTCTAATGGTCTACGAAAACCATGCGCTGTTTCTTGCACCAAAGTATACCTTCTAACAGGTGACTTGAAGATGAATGAGAAAAGATTAGGAATTAAGGTTGTGAAATTATTGAAAAATAAAAGCCTGATGCGTGGAGGGGGTGACACAATCGGGTCAAATGCATGACGGATTTTTTGCCTTTTTACACCGAGTTATTCCAATAAATGGGGAGCTGAGTTGGTATGCTATCAAGCTTGATTTCTTGGACTTCCCGTTGGTTGGTTGTGCTTGTCCTGGAGAACTCCCATATCGTATGATACCGCGAGTGGATATGTATCTTTCTGCTGCCGCCATTTAAAAGAGATTTCGAAGGATTTTCTTTTGAAATTTTGGTTGCGAAAGCAAACACCAAAACCATGTTATTTTAATCGTATGATTTTTATTCCGTGATTCGTGATGTATCAGTTCCGATGAACACACCTGCATTAATGTCTACAAACATGTCTAAGGTGATAGTTATATATTAAGTGGCTCTCGAAGTTTAGTTAAACATTTACACAAACGCCATACTGATCAACGGACAGAAATAAACGCACAATGAAACATAGTTTTCCTTTTCTCGCTCCGCCAACGGTATCGCAATAATTGGAACTAAATTTTTAAAACCTCTTGCATACTTTTGGTTTACAATTACAATTTACGGGTGAGTTGAAAATGCCTAAATAAAATATAAACCTAACACGATGAGAAATTTCGCACAATGGTTCACTTGTTTCGATTTGAATCCTTTGTCGCGTGGCTTGAGCTTCCCAAGCAATAAACTTAAACTACGAAAAATTATCGTTTTTGTTTTCTAAAGCACGATTAAACCGATTTCCAAAAATATAAGGAAATTTTTTGTAAAAATACTGAAACAAAATCATCAAAATATATATATATAAAAAAAATCTAATCACATAATCTTATTTTTTTCCTCTCTCCGTAGTTTCTAAAACGTGATGATTGCTGACCCCAACCAGTCTTCTTAAATTCCGTTGCTTTGACTACATTCTACTTTTTCATCAGTTGGAGCTACTGCAGCAGCGGTAACACCATCGATGGGCTCGGTTTTTAACACACTTAAGCTGTCTTCGGTTCTAACAGGACCATCATTTGGTTTACTATCTGTCAAAGCCGAACTGTCTGATGGTTTACAGGTAGCTTTTTCCTCAGAACCTGCCAGTTCTTCGGTGACGCTGACTGTTGGATTATCTTCAACGAGCTGAGGCTGGGTTGTTTGTGATGTTGATGTATCTGGGCGGTCATCTTTGATATCTGTCAGTGAGGCTTTCTTAGAGTCTATTAGTTTCTCAGCCACAGTAATGGGATCAGAGTCCAATTCGGTTTGGGTTATTGGTGAAACATCGGAATCAAAACAACACGAAGGTTCCATTTTTATATCTATTATTGATTTCTTTTCAGAGTCCGCCAGTTCCTCAGTCACACCGCTTGTTGGATCAGTGTCCAATTCATGTTCGGCAGTTGGAGAATCATCTGCCTCAGTAAGACAGGCAGGTTCTTCTCTCGTATCTATGGGTGATTCTTCTGCAGAATCCTTGGGTTCCTCGACCATATCGATTAAGACAGATTGCGGCTCGTGTGCTGGAGAAGCACCAGGAGCGTTATTTACAACCGGTTCTTCCTTAATATCAACCAAGGATTCAAGTCCAGATATGTCCATGGCTTCTGCAATGGGCTGTTGTACAGATTCCTTGTCTGTATCATGCTTCAATACGGAATCTTCCGAAAGATCTAGAGGCTTCGGTTGCGGCTCGTGTGCTGGAGAAGCACCAGGAGCGTCACTTACAACCGGTTCTTCCTTCATATCAACCAAGGATTCAAGTTCAGATGTGTCCATGGCTTCTGCAATGGGCTGTTGTACAGATTCCTTGTCTGTATCATGCTTCAATACGGAATCTTCCGAAAGGTCTAGAGGTTTAGGTTGCGGCTCGTGTGCTGGAGAAGCACCAGGAGCGTCACTTACAACCAGTTCTTCCTTAATATCAACCAGGGATTCAAATCCAGATGTGTCCATGGGTTTTGCAATGGGCTGTTGTACAGATTCCATGTCTGTATCATGCTTCAATACGGAATCTTCCGAAAGATCTAGAGGCTTAGGTTGCGGCACGTGTGCTGGAGAAGCACCAGGAGCGTCATTTACAACCGGTTCTTCCTTAATATCAACCAAGGATTCAAGTCCAGATGTGTCCATGGCTTCTGCAATGGGCTGTTGTACAGATTCCTTGTCTGTATCATGCTTCAATACGGAATCTTCCGAAAGATCTAGATGCTTAGGTTGCGGCTCGTGTGCTGGAGAACCACCAGGAGCGTCACTTACAACCGGTTCTTCCTTAATATCAACCGAGAATTGAAGTCGAGATGTGTCCATGGGTTCTGCAATGGGCTGTTGTACAGATTCATTGTCTGTACCATGCTTCAAGACGGAGTCTTCCGAAAGATCTAGAGGCATCGGTTGCGGCTCGTATTTTGGAGAAGCACCAGGAGCGTCATTCACAACCGGTTCTTCCTTCATATCAACCGAGGATTGAAGTCGAGATGTATCCATGGGTTCTGCAATGGACTGTTGTACAGATTCATTGTCTGTACCACGCTTTAATGCGGCATCTTCCGAAAGATCTAAAGGTTTAGGTTCCTCTATAATGAAATTATCAGGCCATTTCGGTTCATGCTTGAAGGTTATGGTTTCCAACGAATTTAAATCACCATTCAATTCAGTGTTACATACTGTATCTGTGGGTTCTGTAGTGGATTGTACAGATTTATCTTCTGTAGCATTTGGTTCCTCTACGACGACTTTTGCAGTATCCTTAGAACTGGCTTCCTCTGTCAAATCATCTGTCCAGATCGGTTCGTCTTTGATTTTCATGGCTTGTGAAATATTAAAATCACCATTTGGATTAATGTGATGTAATGCTTCAAGTGCTCGTGTTAAAATCTTAGAAGGAATGGATAGATCTATGATGTCTGTTGAAGGAAGAATGGAGTTTCCACCAATCAATTCTAATGCAGGGTATGCGGAAGTTGTATCTTCCGGGGAAGCTGGCTCATCTTTAACAGCTACAAGCGACGGAGTAGCATTGCTGTAGTCCATAACATTCTCGCCGCGATGGAGGTCTTCGTCGGCTCCGGACAAGGCTCGGATAGCATCGCTGATCATTTCCAGTTCCGATTTTTCCATAACCGTTTGTTCCACAACCTGGGTAGGTTCCATTTTCAGATCCAAATGAACTGGTGATGTATTGCCTATCGGTTGCAAACCGGAAGTATCCATTGGTTCGCTTTCTCTCCAAATAGGTTCGTTTTTTATTTTCATCATCGAATCATTCATGTTGCCATCGGGATTATCTGGGTCAGGCTTGATTTTCTTCCATCTGGAGCGACGGTTTTGGAACCACACTTGCACCTGTGTAGATAACATAAAAAGAAATTTATAGTTCCGTGTCGGAAACATCAACCTTATAGACAAAGGGTGGGACAAAATTCAAATTCCAGTTCCAGTATGATTTCCGGGGGCCTTCTGGGTCCTAGAAAAACTGTGTAAAATTTCAGGTCGGTCGGTGGAACTATATTTTAGCGCCAGCGATTTTAATTTTACATAGGATTTTCTATGGAAAAACTTACTTTTTCAAATAAAAATCTGGTGAGATCACCCATTGTCCACTAAAAATAGATCAACCCGACCATACCCTAGGAAATTTTACAAGGAAACTTTTCTACGAAGACCGCAAAACGATCCGACGCTTATGGAAAAAGTCATTTAACCATTACTGATTGCTAACCAAACGAACTGCTCATTATTCTTTTTTCTAGCAGCACTGCCAGCTGCCGCCTGCTACTGTCTACACAAAGCAGTTCAGTCAGCATGGCGGAAAGCCGATATCATGCGCAAAGAATCTTCGATTTTGATGAAACTTTACACCGGTTTCCGGTATAGTACAACAATTATGTTTCACGGGGGTCATTTGAAAACAAGCGTGATTTTTCACAAGGGTTTATTTGCTTTGGCGCACAATTCATTCAAACCTTATCAGTCGATGTACTGCGGCAACTGGCAGTGCTGCTAGAAAAAAAAGAATAAAGAGCAGTTCGTTTGGTTAGCAAAACGTAATGGTTAAGGGGGTATTCCCGATCTTTTTTTTCAAAAAATCAAATTTTTGTTTTTCACGTTTTTTTGTACTTTAGACTATATACTTTCATCCCCCCAAGCCGTTTTCCGATCAGCGAATTCGGTGTCCAGGCATAGCTGACTAATGGTAAGAACCCCCAAATGGTTTTAACTAAAGTCAAAACTTTAAACGCGTTTTTCTCGGAACCACATTTTTTTTTATCGGGCGAAGATTTTTCTCAGAAACTATAAGAGATATTGACTTGAATCTTTGCGCATTTTGTTCCTTATTAAATTCTTTGGAGCTTCTCCCACTTTCAGCCAAAAATATTAACATTTAACATTGTTTGAAGCACCTTAAAGCTGCAAAAAAGCGGGCTAAAAATCGCCTGTTTTTTCATATGGCCGCCATTTTGTTAATTTGCAAGATTTTTTGCTGCCAACGGGAGAAGCTCCAGAGAATCTTATGCAGATTATTAATTTCATCACGAAATCTGTTTCAGATGAAGCCGTTCCAGAGAAAAGTCTTCGCATGTCCAGGCGTTTGCGGCGAACAGGGGTCTGTTTGCCGCCATTTTGTGACGTCAATAATGTCTTTTTTTATGTCGAAAAAAATTTATTTGTAAACTTTAATGTTCAATAAACAATAATCCCAAAGAGTTAGGCGCATTACTATTCATTTTCCTTGAAAAAAAATTAATTGAAAAACAGGCCGAAAAAAGGCAAAAGATTGGGAATACCCCCTTAAATAACTTTTTCCACAAGCGTCGGATCGTTTTGCGGTCTGGAAAAAAAAAAGTTTCCTTGTAAAATTTCCTAGGGATTAGTTGTGTTGATTTATTTTTAGAGGACAATGGGTGACCTCACCAGATTTTTATTTGAAAAAGTAAGTTTTCCCATAGAAAATCCTGTACAAAATTAAAACCGCTGGCGCTAAAATATAGTTCCACCAACCGACCTGAAATTTTACAATGTTATTCTAGGACCCATGAGGCGCCCGGAAATCATACTGGAACGAGAATTATTATTTATTTTTTTCATACATCCGTGTCCCAGCCAGACAGCCGCCATACCAACCTGTGTTTCAGTGAGCTTCAATTGTGACGCCAGCTGGCATCGTTCGAGAAAGCTAAGGTACTTTTTATCGGTAAATTCCCGCTCCAATGTCTCCAGTTGCTCGGTTGAGAAGTTAGTACGTTTTTGTCGGAATTTCCCGTTTTCGCATTGGATGAGTTCCACTTTCACGTGCCCGTCTGCGATCGGTACGTCTGGATCTAGAAGAAAATGGAAAGATTTGTTGGAGTTGTTGGATATTAGGGTGATGATCAAAACCAGGAGGATCGTGAGCCTCAAGACTTCTACCCATGCTTGGCATGCACAGTTGTACACACCAACTGCTCATTTGGTAATAACTTTTCACTCAGATGTTGAAATTTATTTTTCTTTAAAGTAATTGATAGATTAGGCTCATAGTTTACTGTAGATATACGAAGATTAGGTAAAGCTTAACATTTGAATCAACACTAATCAATTTAACACTTAAATTCCGAGATATGTAGTGAGCATTTCTCACCTCATTTTTACAACGCAAAAACAAATACAGTTTACTACTAGCATTAAAATCTACTTTTTTTACATATCTATAACAAGCTTGCACTCTATTCTATCTACTGCTTCAAAAAGAACTATGTTCCGTCAACTGTGTGTAAAGTTATTAGCAAATGAGCAGTTCGTGACCAAAACTGTGTATGCCAAGCATGCTTCTACCCACCCGAGATCCATCCGTTAAAATTCAATTCGATAGTGATTTTCTATAAGAGCCCAAGATGTAACGGTTAATAAAAATGACATCTTCCGTCCGGGGGTTTTTAAACTTTTTCATTGAAGGAGCACTTTTTTTTTTTTTTTTTTTTTTTTTTTTTTTTTTTTTTTTTTCCTTTTGGTTTGTTTTTTCCGTCGATCTTGTTTTCCGTGCTGAGCACCAATGCTACCGACGTGCCAGGAAGGCAGCTCCCACACCTGGTCCCTACCTATCGACCCATCAACTCATGAACCGGGGACCAACGGCTTTACTTCCCATCCGAAGGAAGGCGTGATCAGAGATGTTATGCCTCAGAACATCCCGGCGGCGCCGACTGGGATTGAACCCAGGCCTGCTGGGGTAAGAGGTAATCACGCTTACCACTACACCACCGGCGCCGTTGAGGAGCACTTTTAGACAAGCAAAATATTGATGGAGCACTGTATTTGGAATAGGGTAGGAGACAGTACTCATTTGACATAATGCCGTTTGGTCTTATGGTCTTCTTCTTCTTCTTCTTCTTCTTCGCATTTCAAGCTAATTGCATATCGCATATTAGCTTATTGTGTGCTCTCAACTTAGTGTTCTAGATGTACTTCCACAGTTATTAATTGAGAGCTTTTGATGCCTGTACCATTTTTGCATTGGTATAATTCTGTGGCAAATCCAATCATACTGCTATCCAGCATGGTCTTGCTTTGTAGCTGTGCCTTTACCGACTGAGCTAAGGGAGGCCCCATAATGGTCGTTAGGCTATAAATGGGGCGCAACGTAGCCTCACTACTTATTTAACAAAGCAAACTATCATTTGGTTTGCATTGAACCTGTGGATAGTGGCAAACAAATAAATTTATAAGTGTATTATCTAGGGTCTAGGGTCTTGCCCCGTGTCCCATTTTGCCCTACTTTACCGTATTTAGTATGTTGAACACAAGGAGGGAGAGTTAAAAATTAAAATAGTTGTGGACATCATTTTGAAATCACCGGTAACCATCAACACTAAAATTTCCATCCAATATTTGCCTTTTCAAGATATCGTTTTAAAAAGAGGTCGCAACATCGCAAAGATTTCACACATTCGCTCATTTAAACTACATCTAGAGGCTTACCGTCAGTTTTAGTCTCTGCATCGACTGTTGTGGTTGTTGTTGCTGTTGCTGTTGTTGTTGTTGTTGGCGTTGGAGTGGTCGCACCTGATTTATCATTCGATTTACGGGCGCCGTTACCGCTCTTTGAAACCCATCTAGTGGTAGACCATGGCGAGGTAAGACCAGCTTCAATCCGTTTATCCTTTGCTCTTCTATTTTGGAACCACACTTTAACCTATAGTTCGGAAGACAAAAAAAAATAACTAAACATACAACAACCAACGTGCCAAAACCCTCCTACTCGTACCTGTAATTCAGTCAACTGAAGTGTTGTGGCAATTTTACAACGTTCTTTGTAATTCACAAATTGTTGGATTTTGAAATCCTTTTCTAGTTCCAACAACTGATGCCGATTGTATGGGGTTCGTTTTCGGCGTTGCTTGAAGCGTTTAACCATGCCCTCGATTGTCATCTTTTGGTCATCTGGTTCCAATTTGATTTCCCTTTTGATATCCAGTTCATCGATAGGTTCCGTTTTGATCTCTCTGATGATATTCAACTCATCCAAGGGCTCGGCTTTGATTTCATCCTTAATGGTCAGTTCACCGTTTTCAATACGCTCCGGTTCAGGCTTATTCTCGTCTTCCGATTTGACTTCCTGTTTGATACCATCCGGATCTAAAAATGTATGTTTGTAAGTAAACCGTTTTCGAGCATGAATGAACGATATTCAACTAACACATGAACATAAAAAGTTTTAGTAACATGACAAATAATGAGAAATGCACAATATGAACGAAACTTACACAGTATTCTATTTTCCATGCTCGCAACGATTCCCAACTCCCAAGAAAAGGTTTTCTACGAAAGACTTGACGTATTGCGGCTAAAAATAGAATCTGTTTCCACTTTAATTTATCCAACTGTGATTACACAATTTGCTATGATCAACACAAATTTGTCACGGTACTAGTACTTAGAGTCGACACATTTCATCACACAATCTAATCAACCCTATATTTGAGATTTAGAAAATGTCTGACGTTTTATAAGAAAATCTGTCAGGGATGGTATTCAAATGTAAACCCTCTTGAAGGATACCACTATTTAAGGTGATGCATTTTAACAGATGAATAAACAAATATTATTTTATGTAGTGTTAAGATCTAATTTCCGTCATACTAAGCGAACAGGCACCTCTCTCTTATGTTCGGGTTTGAATAAATAATGGAAATGTTTCTATCAAAGATGACTTCTAAATGTATTTACCTTTCCATACATACCGTTAGACTTGATACAGTGTAACAAATTGTTGAGATATTGATAAAAATCTAACATTGCTTCTTGACTCCAATATTTCGTCACAACACATTGAAACGCCATTGAATTTTGTTCGGCATACGAATGAAGGGAGAAAAGATTGATTCGCTAGGAGAGCTTATTTTTTACTTTGTTTTTTTAGCATTTGAAGTGAACTATCGTACCGAACGTATGATATTTCTGTTCGATATGACGGAAATGGGCGCTTATGCCGAAGTAGTGCTCTAGCCTAGTAGTTATACCTATCAACAAAAAGCTTTGAAAGAATAACATTAAAACGACTACCGACTGGATGTGATATTCCGTCCAACGAATACGCCCGGATACATTATTTACTTTCTTTATTCGTATGTATCTCATTTAGTCTCGAATTATAACGCTTTGGAATTTATCAGGTGATGATCATACACTATCTATTATGTCGAAAGTCGTTTTAAAAGGTTTTGGTATGTTAGCAACGATTTTTCGCAGAATTTGAATTCTGTTTTCAACAGAATGTTATGTTTTTGTCCCCAATGCATAATTTCTCGCGCAAGAATAATTTAAAAAGTTCCAATCAATAGAGAAACCGATGCCTATATACCGAATGACCTTGAGTGACATAAACCAATTTCCAATGTAACGGAAAATTTTACATCCAATGTAATTACGAAGTCTCCTTCTCTGAGACCAAACCGACGCGAGGTCAAGAATCGTGTCAATCCTTCACTCGCGCGTATGAATACACTACAGAGCGATCCGCGCAGGACCGATTTTCGATATTGTTAACGCAATATGTTTTCACTCTTTTAACTGTACATTACCTACCACGTCAATGGAAAATTGATTTAAAACCGCCACGTGTTGATTTGCTTTCTATAATTCAAAATGGTCTCTCAAGCGTGGACCATTCACAACAACCGCGTATTTGACTAGCTTCTTCGTTCTTCACATATTCTCGTTTCTACCAAGCAGTATTTCGTTTCCAAACTACTTTCAACGTAGACCACGTACGCAACCCTGGACGGCGCCGGCTCCGTTTTCGCCAGGGCATTACATCTACAAGTAGAAAACCGAAGGAACGATGCATTCACACCGCCGGGAAAAGTTCGAATCAGCATTGTTTTAAACTGCCAAACAGTTGAAAGGCCACAAACTTATTAAAACACTTCGCTGCTTAAAGGTTGGAAAATAAAAAGGACATGCTACCACAGCGATGAACTACGTATTATCGTTAAAGTTTAAAAAATAATAATGTGCAAAAATGAGTGAGTAAAAAAAAACATGAACTAGGGATAAAGGGAATGAAAAATTGTAGCACTACAAAATCGACGACGGCATAAATAATTCAACATTCTTTCAACACTTCCAAGTTATATAAAAAAAAATATTAAAAGGCCTAATTAGCTTCAAACACCGAGTTATTGCAAACCAATCTTATGTGCTGTTGCCTGGTCGGTGCCTTTTTGCCAAAATTGAAATTTTCAGTGAACATGGCAGTTACCCATATTTTCATAATACTGGATAAACTGAACATCATAGGAAATGTTTATTTATAGTTTTGTCATCGATTTAACCGTAAACTACGTTACCTATTCTTAATCCTATTTTTAAAACATTCTTAGAAATCGTAGTCATAATGAACGCCAACATCGTTGAAGGCTTCCAGGCAAAAGTTTAGTGAGTTGTTCTGATCGTAGGCGGTCCTATGTGCAGATAGGGGAACTAGGGGCAAGAAGGTCACCCGCAGCAAGAGTGGCACCCTCAATATATTTTGAAAATGAAGCCATTTTTAATGCTAACTCACCATGAATCTATGCATGGTATCCTTATGAAGCATCATAGAAAGATCTGTTCGAAACGAACCCTTATAAAAAAAATACCATACCCGAACGATAACTCAACTGATTGAACTATTCCACAAATGGTTTGGATGATACCCTGAACGCCATTAAGCAAAATAACCATACAAATTTTATTAGGGAAGTCTTAAAACAAATACAAAAAATCATTTTGTGTTGGTGTGTTGAAAGGCGATGTTTTTATAAGAATAATGCATCTGATTTTCCTAATTCCCAATTTATTATTTTCACTATTTCTGCAATGAGACGTCACTATTGATGGTGGATTGAAACATTAATAACAATACATTATGAAATGTTCATTAATTGAAATTTTAAAATTAACTTTACACGGGGCAAGAGTGCCACCCCTACATTTATGCATAAAATTATCCAAAAATATTAAGAAAATAGCACAATTTGGCATTTATGATTCCGATATGCATTGTTATCGTGATTTTTTGCAAAACAAACTCTATAATATAGTAAAAAATGCTTTCCATTTGAATTCTTTGACAGCACATGGTTTTTATGTTTTGTATAATCTGTTTCACTTAATTTTAGGCGAATGGCCTTTTTTCTCCATAAGAGTGGCACTCTTTCCCCGTAGCATGTTTTAGAGCAGACGTGACATGAAATTTAAACAAAAAAAAATGAAAGGGTTGTGTCCTAGACACGACCGCAGTATGACGTAGAACCTATCTATCTATCTATCTATATCTATGATACATGATATATGCATTTAGGCTAACATCCGACGTCCCTCCTTTTTACATATTTTGCAGAAAAAATAGATCCAAAGTCCCTCCTTTTTTACATATTCTACATAAAACATACTTTCTAAGCCCCGCAACTGACAGGATTTCCCGCCATTTTATTATGAATGAGGGCGGGGCAGAAATTTTCTTTTGTGCAGAATATGTAAAAAAGGATGAACTTTGGATTATATTAACATCCATACATATATTGAGGTACCAGATATGTTTTACAGTCAGTTGTTGGTAATTCATCGAGTGTATGTCTCCTGTTAAGCAATATTTTTTTGAAAATGTTGGCTCTGCATGTAAAAAATTGTTTATCCATAATTGTGGTTGGCTTAAAATTTATTTCCCGGAAAAAATGATCGTCAAAGTTCATGTCTTTTTCGGGTTATGTTAAGGGGGAGGGGGAGAAGTTGTTAAGGGGGAGGGGGTATTACATGCACGTTTGTTCAAGTCTCATTCCTCATTGTGGTGGACACGCCGTGATCCACCTTTAGCCGCTGACTTAGTCCTGCTTGCTGCAGGACCTAGTGCCAAACCGTCCGAAGCGGTAATGAGCAGAGGCAGGAGAGCAGCGCTGATTTATATCTTTTCAGGTTCAAGCAGAATGATGTGCAACCAAGTGGTATTCGTTTATGATTACTGGGTTTGAGAAAAAGGCTTATTTCATGAAAACAGTGATAAAATTATCATTTGTACATTTTCTAAAGTTTAATTACAGAAAAATTGGAAAAATATTTATTTCAGCAGGTTCCTAATGTAATATCCTATCGATTAGCGTATTTGGATTTTAATTTCATCTATAAACGACAAAGTTACAAGCGTTCAAAACCTAACACTCCTTCACCACACATATTTTTTGATTTGCATCCCAGTATAGTCGACAAAGACGTAGTTCTACGTCAAAATCATTAACATTTTTTGTTGAGGTTTAATTTCAATTTCATGAAGACAATGTTATAAACTTACAATTCGGTGTACAAACTCGTATAAATATTCACAGGATCGCATATATCAACGGACAATCGTTAGGGTTACCTTCTTACCCCTAGTTCCCCAACAGCAACGAGGGGAGATCTCCTAATACTAGTTCCACGTGATCGTTAATTCTCAATTTGGAGTCAATCGTAACCCCCGGATTTTAATGTAGAGATAGTGACAGTAGGACCAACCGGTGAACACTCGTTTTTATTTCAGTTACCATGGAGACGTAATTTGTGATTAGCCCTAGTCCCTTTCAAATTGTATCATTATTTATGAACGGCCTTATGTTTGAAATGACGTTTCACATTCATCTAGTGATGTCCGATTTTCATTCGAATAATCGTTTAATCGATTAACGAACCGAAAAGTAAACTATTTATAATCGGTTAGATCATGCCGATATAAGCATTAACATCTCCACAGGATCATCACCGATCGTTTCAAACATGTGCTGCACTCTCATTGGTGGAAAAATGGCAGCACAGCGAACAAAAAATAATCGATTAGTTGTTAATCGAGTAATTAAAAAAGTGGGACATCTCTTATTTTGGTGTGATTGTTTTGATAAAAATGAGCGCAAAATTTCATCTCTTCCGAGGGGGCAGCAAAACCACAAAATTACCTTGAATACGGGGGGTTCTCATTGGATGAAAGGGACCGTGAAAAAAGACACTACAATAGAAAGTTTTTCTTCCGACAGTTTCATCTTAGTATTCATCTTTGGTAGGACGCTCAAAAAGCAATAGGACGGCCTTGCCATGAACGACAGTAGAGCAGGAGTTAACTGAGGCTT